AGCTAGTGAAGTTCTTTTTAAATTCCTCACAGTTATGAGAAAATCTAAATGGTAAGCACAGCCCTAATGTGCACTCATTCTTGCCTTGAAAATTCATGAATGTACTAATAATTCTCCCTTCTCTACATTATTTGCAGTGTGTATCATTCAGAGTGCGTTACAGCTCATCCCTGTTTTAGATTATTATTATTAATTTACTTAATTCTGTCTTCTTCTGTACATATCCTTGTTTAGTGTCATAAATTCATCAAATATAATTAATACAATTAAAACAATAGTAGTTAGTCTGTGCTGGTTAACATTCCAGGGCACTTCTGGGTGTTCATTCAAAACCAACCATGTGTGAAGTGTTGTGTTTCCATTTCATAGTTAGTATTTCTGTCTAATTCTTTTGTTAGGGGCTGTACATTTAACCCAATGTGAAATGTTCATTCCAAATATTACTTATTTTAACATAGATCTGATCCTTTTTACTTATTTAAAATTGTGATTTGTTTCACATTGTGATGAACAGAAGTTAACTTGTGTGCTTATGACCTCGGAGATTATGTTTTTTTTTACTTGCCACGGAGAGGCACTTCTGAGGGTGTGTGGTGAACACATAAGTACTACCCAAGCATTAAGTTTTTGCTTTGACTGAGAACTTTACAGTTCATAATGAAATGAGCTAGATAACTTGAGGCCTCCTCTTGTTTAAAACAGATTTTTATTTAATGGAATATGTGAGCTGCTTCATTATTAAAAGCTAAATTACACCTTTGCTGTTATTTTACTGTAGCATCACAGGCTTTAAAATGCAGGCAATTACAGTTTACTATGCTAATTTCGTATGTCACATTCTTCCCTCTGAAACAAAGCTAGGGAGTATAGTTCTGTGAAAAAAGTATTTCCCCTCTTTCAGATTTTCTGATTTTTTGTGTATTTTCACGACTGTTATCAGATTAATTTGAATCCTAGTGATGTACAGTATAAAGGGAACCTGTGTGGACATATAACAGCAAAGTCTGGTGCTTGTTTAATTACATAGTCATTCAACATCCAAATTCCCTGTGTGAAAAAGTTAACACCATCTCAGTTTAATCAACTCAATTAATGGGATTACTAGAACCAGCTGTGTGAATATTTTATAAAACAATCATGGCCAGCCCTGATCTATGTAAAACTCACAAACTTTGACTTTCATTGTCACAAGAAGTTCTCGCCACACACAAATTAGAGGCACTTCATGCCACTTTCAAAAGATATTTCAGATGACCTTAAAAAAAGTCATTGATGCATTGTTTCAGTCTGCAAAAGGCTATAAATCTACCTGTAAACTCAGGGGCTCCACCGACCTACAGTTAGAGAAATAATTAACAGTGAATTTTATTAAGGGTGACCGTCCTGCCAGAATCACTCTCCAGAGCGCAGTGTTAAATTAGACCAAGAAGTCTCAAGAAACCCAACAACACCTAATCTGTTGGTCTTTTTCTCAACGTAGCTAAAGTCAGTGTTCATACCTCCACCACCAGAAAAGCAAACAGAAAAATGGGATTCGAGTGAGAGCAGCAAAGTGGAAATCATTGCTTACTAAGAAGAACATTGGTGCTCCTCTCACATTTGACAAAAAGCACCTGGATAATACTCCAGACTTTAGGAGGAATGTTCTATGGACAGATGTGTTAAATGGGTGCTGTTATGTCTTGTGAAAATGAAATGCTGCATTCCACAGTAAGAACCTCATGTCAGCAGTGGAGCATGGTGGTGGTGGTGTCATGGTTTGGGGATGCTATGCTGCCTCAGGACCTCAGGGTGACTTGTCATCATTAACCCCATAGTAATGTTGTGGCTGGATCTGAAATGAGTAGTTAATCCTAGAAAATCCTCAAACGTTATTAGGTTGAAGCAGTTGTTCATGGAAAAATGGTCCAAAAATGCTACAGAGCAATGCGAGAGACTGATTGCCAATTACAGGAAGTGTTTGGTTGCAATTATTGCAGGTAAAGGTGGAACCAGTTGCTGAATCTAACTGTTAATAATAATAATAATAATTGCTTACACTTATATAGCGCTTTTCTGGACACTCCACTCAAAGCGCTTTACAGGTAATGGGGACTCCCCTCCACCACCACCAATGTGCAGCATCCACCTGGATGATGCGACGGCAGCCATAGTGCGCCAGAACGCTCACCACACATCAGCTATGAGAGGAGAGCAGAGTAATGTAGCCAATTCATAGAGGGGGATTATTAGGAGGCCATGATTAGTAAGGCCCAATTGGAAATTTGGCCAGGACACCGGGGTACACCCCTACTCTTTTCGAGAAGCGCCCTGGGATTTTTAATGACCACAGAGAGTCAGGACCTCGGTTTTACGTCTCATCCGAAGGACGGCGCCTGTTTACAGTATAGTGTCCCCATCACTATACTGGGGCATTAGGACCCACATGGACCACAGGGTGAGCGCCCCCTGCTGGCCCCACTTACACCTCTTCCAGCAGCAACCTTAGTTTTTCCCAGGAGGTCTCCCATCCAGGTACTGACCAGGCTCACACCTGCTTAGCTTCAGTGGGTTGCCAGTTGTGAGTTGCAGGGTGATATGGCTGCTGGCATATCTGGCATATGTTAACTTTTACAAACAGGGACACTGGATGTTTATGAAATAACTGAAACAAGCACCAGACTTTATTTGTCCTACTTTCTGACTTTAACAGATTAAGAAGACCACAAGAATTGTCAAGTAGCATCCTCTCAATTTAAAATTTAATCAGCTTTGTAATCTAAAGGTGAGAAAAGATCATTTTACCACACTTTCAGAAACCGGAAAAGGCAAAAAATGTATGCTAAACAATGAATGGTTTGCATTAACATTTCTTCTCAGGAAAAAAAATGTATTTTTAGTAGTGATTTTAGATAGTGAGGTTTGATGCATAAAGCACGAATACTTAAACAAATGTATCTTAAGGAAATCACTGGGAGAACATGAGATTATCCTTTGCTAAAGTTCAACATTGTTTTAGGTCTCACCCCATCACATTGACAAGATAATTAAATGTATAAGAGGAAGTGAAATACATTCCACTGTAGTCTTAACTTGAATTTTGGCAACACTTGCTCAGCATAATTTATGTAATTGGGAAGTTGTTTGTTTCGGTTCCAGATTTTTGGGTTACAAAATGTTTTACTAAGCGTACCTCATAAGTGAAGTGAAGAAGTGACGGGCTCAGCTAAGTTCTTACCTCCTAGGTTAACAGCCATATTTCCCATTGCTTTATCCTCTTGTTGTCTGTGCCTATTTAGTGTTGCTAATATACATATAATCATTGGAAACAAGACTATAAATTATTTTTATTTATTCTGCTGTTGTGCCTACCTGTAACACAAATTGTAAGATGGTGGTAGTAGATGCAGTAAAAACCATTAACCGCAGATCAGGTGATCTAAGGTTGGAGAAACTGGAATGCATTTAGTGCTTCCTATTACACTATAGATAAGTTAGAATTTGGATTATATCTTATAAAGCAGATCACTATACCAGAAAGGTAGAGAAGGAGGATGATGAACCATGTTACTTCTTATTAAAGGATTAAGAGCAAAGGGAGACCCTTAACAGAAAGAAAATGCCAATAGTTACTTCGGATGAGCTCAAAGTAACTAGAAAATGATCAATATTTGTTTATTTTAAATTGACTTCAATAAGGAAATTAATTTAAATCAATTAAACATAAACAAATATTGACCATTTTCTAGTAACTCTGACTGAGTTACCTGATTCCTGAGGTGTGTGTGGCCATGCTGCCTGCAGCAGAATATCGGCGACCTATATGTTTATTTTAAATCTCTGTTAAAAACCGTAACAGTGTTTTGATTTTTTTTGTAACAGCTTATTTGGTTTTAGCTTGCCACAAGTCCTACAGAGAATGACTTGAATTCCATTGGAAGTCACACTTGGCTAAAATGTACTGACCTACCATAGTAATTTAACTCAAGGCTCTTACTCCACCAAGGTCACAAGTGAAATGTTCAACTCCTTGGAGTACAGAGTTTGAAAGTGACCTTGAAGTGAAATTGATTTTGTTTATTTTAGCCTAATCAAAAGCCTGTACATGTTCAAGTGAATTCAAAAATGCAGTGCCAGTTATGCAATAATTAAATGTATGTTTAAGGACGGTTGAGCACCAGAAGTAAGATATGTTATATGGGATTTTTTACCACACGGTAATGCAGTGAAATACGGTTCACAAAGTATTGCTTACCAGGGCAGCTAGCAATAGCTGTTTAGTGTGATGATGACATTCCAGGAGATTTTAAGGAGGTGCAGCCTCAGTATTTCTCCCTTCTTCTCCCTTCAGTATTTCTCCCTTCCCCAGTATTTTTCCTGAGGAAATTCCCGATGCTAATTTATACCATTATGAAAGGTAAAAGACACATGGAAGTACCATGTATCTATTTTTGTTACCCTGTTTACTTTATATATACAGCTTATTTATATAAATGTTCAAGATAAAATATTTGAAAATATCTAGAAGGCCAACATATTCATTCAGGAGATGTAGACAACACCCATCAACCTGATACATTTGCATGATTCAGTATGAGGGGATTAAAGCCTTATTTTCATTTTTGGGTTTCAGAGTATCATAACCCCAGACACCATGACTGAGGACATGAGTGGAAGGATGTGCAAACACTGGCACTAAACAGAGAATTGTCAGTGGCATGAGTCTGAGGTCATGGGTCAGAGGTTACCTTCCCTCTAAAATGTTGGAATGAAATCTCTGCTATATCCAAAACATTTATTTATAAGGCATTGCACTACATAGAGGACATTTGCATGTCTAAGTTGCATAAGAACTGTGATAATTTACCTTTTTGTTTTGACAGAAACAGAATAAACCACACTTGGGTGGTTCCTGCTGCTCTAGTTGAAAACACAGCAAGTGTCTTTGTTTTTAAACCCCTCCCCCACCTTTGGCTGAGCAAATGATTTTGATCTGTCCTTTTTTTGCTTTGCTTTTTCAGACACACTATTTTGGCTTGTGGTTCCACAGTAAATCACAGCTCCAAAGATGGGTGGAGCTGGAGAAAGCCCTCAAGAAGCAGCTGGACAAATTTGGCAATGAGCCTCTTCTTTTCTTTGGTGTGATGTTTTACGTGCCAAATGTCTCCAGACTCGAGCAGGAGGTCACAAGGTGCGTTGGCAATTAATTGCTTTTATCATCAAGGCATAAACAATGGCAGATGCACAGCAACATGAGTTCAGAGAGGAGGAGTTATGTTTCTTAACACTGCTGTTTTTAAGTGAGATGGAAAAAAATTTCTATTTTGAAATATGCTGCTTTAGTTAATTCCTAGAATGTGGAGTATGTGTCCACCAGCAAGGTAATGTTCAAAGCTTTTTGCACCTGAGCAAGATATGTTTCTCGCTTTCTGATGTTTCTTAAAATTATAATTAAAAAGAATCAGGATATGATTTGGCTTTTATAAATCCTTTTTTTGAAATGGGAAATTGAGTTGTGTTTTATAGATTTTTTTTAAAAGGCTGCTATCCTTTTAACATGGTTTTTGGGTGGGGGTGGGATGGGGGATTGTTTAAAGTGATCAGGTTTTTTATGGATGTTCACAGTCATTACCTTTTAAACTATTTTCTACAAGCAAATGAACTGTCATTTCTTAATATTCTTTTATGCCATTGGTACCTGTGTTTGTCAATTTGTTTTTTAAATGGTTTGAGTCTTTTTGTTCAGTGTATAATCAGTGCTATTGGTACTTTATTAATAAAGACAGGAGACTGGAGACGGAGATTAACCTGGCTCTGGAAATTTAGTGATTCTACCTTATTGTGAAAAATATTAAGATTCTATGGGAACAGGATATAGAAGACTGTGAGTTAATGTGACAAGGACAAAGGTGTTTGGGAGTTGACGTTGCTTAATGAGATTTCTAGTGTATTTAAAAGACTCATGTTGAGTTTCTAGAGTATGCCATCATTGCCACTGTTTTTCGGCAGGACCAGTGATCCAGGGCCTTCACACCTCATTGAGGGTCAACAATAAAGCATTAACAGCAAAGCTAAAAGAGTAATGCTTCTCAAAAGATCAAGTGCAATGGTGTTTTTTGAGATTCTTGGCTAGTTTCATCAAGAAAATTGCATAGTGGAAAATCTGCTTTTACTACAACAGTCTGCAATATGGGGGACTTCTGTTATTGTTATAGAAATATTTTTTGAAAACATTTGTGGTAGTACTCTGAGATTGTTCTTACAGAAGAGCATCTGTTTATTTACTTTTGGCAGGTCATGTTAATATTAGTGTGGGTTCTTTTGGAAGGAAAGCCAAATTCATGTGTTGTATGACTATAAGAAGATGTATAAAGGCAATAGATAAAAATACTTAAGTATTAGAACTAGTTTTAGTTTTCCTTTTGTGAACAGACCTTGAAACTTTATCACTACATAAGTGCATACAGCATTTTATCATTTTTAAATATGGAGTGAAAGTTGAAAGAATAAAATAAGTCTTTTGCTTTTGCTGTCAAACATACTGTATCTTTGTGATATGATGAGCTTGTACATGCTTGTTGAAATATTTGTCATTTTTGCTTTGAGTAAACATGTAAGTTAAATAGTTTTAAAAAATCTTAAACCAGACAGTGAACATTTGCATTAAATGAAACCTTCCTCATTAATCTAAACCCACACAGGTTCTCAGGTGCAGGCTGGCAAAAATTCCAGGAATTGCTTCCTCAGCCAGAGTGTATGAAGTTAAAAGTTGCGCTTGGGTAGGAGGACAATCAGGAGCGCTGTGGAAGTTTAAAAGAAGCGTTTGTGTTGAGGCCCTTGTGCGGTTGGAAATCTCAAAAGAATTTTGGCATCAGTTGCAGCGTAGGAAGATGCAAAATTCCTGTGTGCTGAAGTGTTAAAGGCCTGTTTCTCTGTCTTATCTTTGACACCCCCCAGTGCCAGTCTGTGGCATCAGCTACTCTGAGACAATACCTTTTCACTCCAAAAAAAAACTCAAATCCTCCAAAAAAACTAGGATAAAGATCAGAGCAGCTGTGGTAGGAAAGCTTGTTACTGTTGAGAACAACCATTAGTAAATTTAGACTAATTTTTATGATACTGGTAAAGAAAAGAAATACAATTTCTGATTTTGTGGAAGTTTTTGGTGTTTTGTTAGATTTCCTATTTTAAAAAATTATTAAAACAATCGATGCCTAAAGACAAAGAAAAAAAAACTATAAAAACTTAAACTCGCATGAAAACAGTACACGTGTAAATGAATTCTGCACCCTGTGGTTTAGTTATGACGAAGTGTAAAAACTATTTTAGGGAGAACTGCCTTGTGCTTGTTGTTTTATACACTGATACTTAAAATAAGGTTAACCCTTTTGATTTCCAGGCGTAAAGATACATTTACCAGCCTTTCCTGTCCTCTAATTTTTTGTAAGTTTTTAAATGTAGAACAGAGGTCCATCTTGATGTAGAAAAGCATTTTGACACCTGGTTTACTTGAAAAAAAGAGGCAGTTTAAAGTGTTGGGTTGATTTGTTCACAAGTCTGGGGGAAACTAGGTCAAACACATTTCCTTTGAAGTTAATTCAAGTGTGTGTGATTCATTTACACCTTCGTCCTTGCTATAGTGTTGATTTCACACTTGTAAACACTCCACAAGTGGAGATGAGTACACAATACTGTTCCAAATATCCCAAAAGGACAAATGTCCTCAACATATTGTAGAGCTGTTTATGTTCAATTCTTAATGTCTTAAGATGAGCTTATTACTTTATTACACATGTATCCTAGGAAACAAAGTGACAAATAACTAAAGTAATGAATATTTTGAAATTCTTTTGAACTATGCTTCCTTCCTTGTTAAATTATTTGTTTATATAGCCAAAGGCAATTATCTTTTAAATAGTTCAATGATGTTTATGGCAATATGAACCACAGGGCTATGTACAGTAGCAATTTGACAAATGATCATTTAGAAAACATTTATGAAATGTACACAGTTAAATAATAAAGAAAAACCTTTTGATTATAATGCCATATCTCTCTTTATCAAAATGATTTTCCTGCAGTTGTTAAGATATTGTTTCTATTCTGTTTTATGGTGCATATGCAGATGCAAGAGGTTAGATAGTAAATTGGAATGTGTTATAACACAAGTCTGAATACAGCCTTATTGAGACCATTCATACAGATTAGTTCATCCACATTGTAGAAAAAAATTAAACAAGATACTATTTTTAAAATTTTGTAAAATCCCTTTGGACTATAAGAAGAAAATAGTTTGCAAAAAAATTAAGTTTATTAAATTTTAATATTCTTGCCTAAAAATATTTAAATCTTAAGTCACATTTGTATTACAATGTTATATATATAGTCTGAACAATTGGAATTCTACTGTCAAAACTATCCAATTTGGTTTTGTTCCATGTGATGTTAGTGTATATATAATTTTCTTTAAAAAAATGTACAAAAGGATTTTTTTGCCCCACAATTAAAAATGCATAAAAAATAAAACAACTTACCCAAATCAAGCTTCTGTCATAATATAACTACATTAAATTTCTCAGTTGCATACAGTAAATAATTTCTCTCAAAAGTAATGAGGTCTTTCTTATGATGTCCCATTTTACAACATACATTTTTTACTTTAATAATAGGACTCAAGTTATATATATATTTCTTGTTTTGTTTTGAATGGGTAGATGAGGTTTATATATAGTAAATATGTACTGCTTCTTCACGTGTCATGGCAACCTTTCAACAAAATGTGAAAACTGTGGAAAGGGTCTGACTACTGTTGCAAGGCTCTGTACCTATGTAGAGTGATGTATAGTTTTGACTAAAAATTAGTAAAAAGCAAGTTATATGTTCAGTTTTTGGTTTTCACGTTTAAAGATAATATTTATTAGATTAATGTGTACTTGTCTTTGTATTTCTAGTGAATGTTAGCTGTGTTTAAAATGAAATTCCATTCACTTAGTTAATCATGAATCCTATGGCTATAGGGTATTTACTAGAATTAACCCGGATCACATACCTGTGTCATTTTATGGGTTAGAAAATTGAATCCCGCCTTTTAAAACAAGGTACATTATATTGTGTCCTGCTATTATAAATACAGTTTACCCGGTAATTTATATATCTGTACATCTCTGTAATTTACTAATCAATTCATCTTCTGAAGGAAGGGGAAAATATACATGTCAGGTTTCAATGTTTTTCATTAGCCTTTCTTTTTTGTCATTGTTTTTTCTTCTCTTTCAAATTTTACATGACAAATGTACTATATTAGCTTTATCATATTAATTGAATAATACTTCTCTTTTTCACAACAGTTTAAGACCACAGTTTGCTGGCCTTTGGAATTTCCTTTTACTGTTTTTTTCCTCTTTAAAATGTGTATGAGGTATTATTGTTAAAAGTATTTCCAGTAAGCAATATGCCTCATTGCAGGCCCGAACAAGACCAAAGGTGCATGTGCGAACATGTAGGCCGTGGTCTGTGTGCTGTCTGAATATGTGAAAACAAAGTGAGAACACAAGAATTAAGACACTGGCTTAGAAACATCCTGGATTTGTACAGTTTGATCCCCCTTAATGTGATTGAGGCAGCCAAACAATTCTGAACAATACATGGCTAACTCTTATCTCAAATATAAAAGTGTGAATTGTGGGAGATAAAATACTATCTCACCAATGTATGCTTACCATTAACTGCATCAAAAACCTGATTTAGAAAAGAAAATGCACACTTATTTTAAGTACCAAATATGTCAACAGCATAACCGCAAAAATCTTTCTGAATATACAATGTTCAGTTTAATTCATGCACTGAGAATATAGGTAGTACACCAAAAAACAGAAACATTTGAGTGAATAAGAGGCACCGTGTATTTTGAAAACAAAGGGGTCCACACAGGTGTGGCTCATGCATTCATTAAGCAAATATCATGCTTAGGGTCATGTATAAAAATGTTGGACAGGCCAGGTTGCTTATAATTATGTTTAGCATGGCTACAAGAGGGAAAAGGTGGTATCTTTAAAATAAGGATAATTGTTCTGGGTCATTTGGCAAGAGCACTGTTTATTAATGATGTTTTATGATCAGTGGTGTCCAAGGGAATGGATCTCTGAGGGAACTAAGGCAAAACTTACTCATCTTGAGACTGTTTGAAGTTTC